TAACATCCTGCATTTTTTTCAGGCATCCTCAAAAACCCGAGGCAGGCTTCTATACACCCATCAACGGGGAAACAAAAACAAGGTCAAGTTCCTTCCCTCTCTTGGGTCTCCCGAAATTGATTATTTCTCTGCAGAAGAAGCTGCCATCGTGAACAACGGAACACCTCAACCACCCCCGACAGACGCTGCTGGGGTTATTTGTGGGCAGCAGAACACAAAAGATCGCAGGCGCTCAAGATTCCAAACATGCTTGCTGAATGATCACTTGACGAAAATTCTACAGATAATTAACAAGAGGGATTCTTCCCTCTGACATCCCGCCCCCGCAATATCCCGCAGCTCACGACTTATCCCCAACATAGCAGAAACTTCAGAGCACTGCACCTGGCAATAATCTCTTCTAACAGAGCTAATCACTATTTTGTAGTGGTATGATTGGGGGCGGGAGAGGGGAAAGTCGGGGAAAGGCTCCTCTGGCTAATAATGCTGGGGCCAACCACACGATGATTTCAGACAGTTGGTTATTTCATTCCAGGATGAGGCCACATCTTACATTTATTTTCAGCTACAGGTACAAGTGTTTCAGAAAGATAATGTGATTCCGTAATTCTGAGAAAATAGATTCTAAACAAGCTATCGGAACAGGGTTCCAGAAATCTCTGGATGTAAAAGCAGTTCAAAGACATCGAGTCATTTCTCAGTTTTGGAAGTTGTCTCTCTGTTGGCTTTGTGTTGTTATTACACTAGTTCATATTTATAAGCATTTGAGTTTTTATAAAATATTTTCTTCTCAATAGGTCAATATGTTCTCTGCCTCCAGGGGAAGGAAGGAAAGCAGGGAGGGAGGGAGGAAGGAAGGAAGGAAGGAAGGAAGGAAGGAAGGAAGGAAGGAAGGAAGGAAGGAAGGAAGGAAGGAAGGGACAGAGGGAGGAAGGGAGGAAGAGAGGGAAGGAAGAAGGAAGGAAGAAGAAGAAAGGAAAGAGGGAGAAGAGGAAGGAGGGAGGAAGGAAGAAAGGAAGGAAAGGAAGGAAAAGAAAGGAAATAAGAAAGAGAGGGATAAAGAGAGGGAACAATCATTTATTAAGTACCTACTATATGCCTGCCAGGCATTGTGCTAAGTGCTATACAGATATTATCTCATTTGAGCCTTACAATGATTCTGGAACATGGGTACTATTATTATCTCCATTTTAATGTGGAGAAAAACCAGGAATGTACAGACCAAAGTTATGTGACTTGCCCAGTGTCTCATAGCTATGTGTCTGAGGCCAGATTTGAACTCATGTCTTCCTGACTCCAAAGCCAGGGTGCTTTCCATTGTAGTCTACTGTTGCTCTATCACAAAGCCATTGAAGTATGAGTGTCATCTAATGTGTAATAGTTTTTATCATCTTTTACTGACAATCACTTGCTCTTTACATTGCTAACTGACCCCTTTCAATGTATGTTTTCTCTTCAGTTGGTTTTGAAGAGCCTACATGTTGGCTTATATTGGGTGGTGTTTTGAAGGTTGAATTAGGAGTCGGAGGACCTGGATTCAAATTCCACTCTGCCATTTACTCCCTATGTGAGCTGGCACAACTTCACCCCTCTGTGCCTCAGTTTCCTTCTCTATAAAATGAAGGGGTTGGAGTAGATGGCCTCTGAGGTTCCTTCCACTTGAAGGAGTTTTTAGAGATGGGCCTCACTATTGACATATTCCCATGTTTCAACATATGGCTATAATAGACATTGGTCTTATACATAGTTTTCCAAAAATCACTCCTTTAAAAGTTTATTTTGACTCACAAGCTTTTCAAGGATGGCACACATATTCTGGGGGTAACCTCTGCCTCTCCTGGCCACAGTCAATCAAGTCTTTCTATTGTTTCCCTTACCAAGAGGTTAAGGATTATAGGACTTTAGAGGAGACCTTAGAAACAGCAAATCCCAGCCAATCACTTGAAATATCACAGACTCATAGACTCTGGAAGGGGCATTAGAGATCATCTAGCTCAATGCTTTCATTTCACAGATGGAGAAACTGAGGTCCAGAGGGCTTTAATGACTAGTCTCCAAGTGACACAGGTAATCAGTGACAGATGTGGAATCCAAACCCTCTGGATCTAAAACTAATGATCTTTCAGCTGCACCAGATGAGAAAACTGAGGTGCAGGATAAATGGATGACTTGTCCAAGGTCACACAACCAGACAGTGCCAGAACCTGGAACAGAAACAAAACCTATCATGAAGACCCTGAATGTCTAACTCCCTTATCAGGTTTTTTTTTTGGGGGGGCAATTGGGGTTAAGTGACTTGCCCAGGGTCTCACAACTAGTAAGTGTCTGAGGCCAGATTTAAACTCAGGTCCTCCTGACTTGAGGGCCCGTCCTCTCTCCACTAGATATTCTTCCCCTACAAGTTTTTCAGGAACACCAGAGCAAGAACTTTATGAAGGAGAAGTAGAATAAAGTCAGTGTCAACTTTCTTTTAAGCTTTGGACTCATGATAAGTATGTATGTCTGTATTTGGATGGATATACCATGGCAATAGACAAGGTCATTCATTCTTCCGCGAGACCTCCTATGTATCTCATTGAAGGAGCTGCCCTCATCACCCGTGCCTAGGTCACATATGATACCTATAAAATTTACTTATCTACTCATAACTTCTATGTGTATCCATTTCCTCTACTGATGCTGAGTATATTTGTGAGAGTGTACGCAGATACAGGAAATAAGGTACAGAAATCTATCCTGCCCTACAGGAAAATAGAAAGGGAAGGAGATAAGAGAAGGGTGGGGGGAGATAGAAGGGAGGGCAGACTAGGGGAAGGGGTATTCAAAATGCATGCCATCTTGGGGTGGGGGGAGGGGCAAGATGGGGTAAAAATATGGAATTCAAAATCTTGTGGAAGTAAATGTTGAAAACTAAAAATAAATAAATTCATATAAAAAAAGAATAGAGAAGTAAGAACAAAGAGCCAATTTTGGAGAAAAGATGACAGAGACTCAGTTTGGAACATACTGAGTTTGATATACAGCTGGGAGATCTGGGTAGGTGTTGGCCTGTCTCCTATGGGCAGTTGGCAATGGGGCTTCATCAGTGATGAGGATATGCCTCGGGAGTCATCTCATGAAGGAGAAAATTGAGCTGCCACGAATGAATGAAACTACCACAGGAGAAAACATAAAGAGAAAATGGGAAAGGGTCCAAGATGGAAGAATGCTGTCAAACAGCAACATCAAACAGTGGGGAAGAGGAAGAGAAGTTATTGCTGGAAATAGAAAAGGAACAGTTTAAGGGTTATGAAGAGAACTAGAACAACGTAGTGCCTTGGAAATCAGGGAGCTAGAGGAGAGAGTCCAGGAGGAGGAGGCTGTCAACAGTGTCAGATGTTACAGAGAAGTCAGTGAAAAGAAGGACTGAAAAATACCGTTGGATTTGGTAACAAGGAGTTCATTGGTGCACTCTGGAAGAGCAATTTCAGTACAATGGTGGGAACAGAAGTCAGATGACAAGGACTTGATCACTGAATAGTCACTTAACCTCCCTCAATCTGCTTTCTCATCTGTAAAATGGGAGAATTGGATTGAATGTCCCAACTCTCAGTCTGTGATCTTATGACTTTTTTTTCAAAAGTGTTTATTAAGTAGTTACTATGTGCTAGGCACTGTGCTAAGCCAAACTTTTTAATATTATCTCATATGATCCTCATAACAACCTTCCAACCCTGGGAGGTAGGTGCTATTATTATCCTCATTTAACAGATAAGGAAACTGAGACAGATAAAGGTTAAGCAACCTGCCCAGGGTCACACAGGGAGTCAATGCATGAGTTTTGAACTCAAGTCTTCTTGACTCCAAGTCCAGGGATATAATCACTGTGCAATCTAACTAATATCTAATTCTATGACTGAATAGATGGTGAGGAAAAGAAAGAGCCTGGTCATAGAATACTTTGAAAACATTTTTCTTTTTTCTTATTATGAATTTGACAACCATCCACAAATAATCACTTCCATATATAAAGAACAAGAGAGGATTGTATATAAAAACTGTAAATCTCTAATACATGAAGCTTGTTGTGTTTTTTTTGAAAGATATAGAATACATTTGACACAGCAGTTCCAAATGGTTCTGCTTGTCTGTGTCTTTTTTGGAACTTTCTTTTGCTTTCCAGTATTAAAAAAAAAAAAAGAGTGTACCCAGATTTATGGGGAAAGATTTTTTTGATACTATTCTTAATTATACCATTTTAGTCAGTGGTTTTGTTTTGAGTTATTTGTGTCCTCTGGCTGACTGTTGAAAGGGAAACACATCTATGGGGGCTCATGAGCTATAGTTTCAGAATTACACACCTATCAAGTACCTTGAACCTGTAGTAGCCATCCTCCAGGGGACCTGTCCTATGAGTTGCAGAGTTGCAGAGGGTTCCCCTAAGCATTCAACCATAGGTCCAATTACGGGAGGCAGAGTGGTACGATGAAAGTGTACCGTTGCTGAAGTCAGCACAGGAAGTGCCCAACACACTTAGGCAACTTACTTAATATCCCTGGGCCTCAGTTTCCTCACCTGTAAAATTAGAAGGTTCAACTAGATGGTCTTTGAAGTTTTTCCTAGTTCTAAATCTATGATCGTATATTTATAACTGTCTTCTCAGAAAGGTTTTATAGACTCACTATTTTCAACTTTCTAGCTCTAAATCTATGATTATATTCTATAACTTTTATTATAAGAAAGGTTTTATAGACTCACCATTTTCATCTATGAAAGCTCTGGTAAGATAGTGAATGCCCACTTTTCTTCTATGACTCATCACACCATGTGTATTGGGAGGACCCTGACCACAGCTGTATGGGAAGTTCCAGAAGGAAACCATGATGGATGTTTTCACAGATTACCTTTTCTGGGTTTGGGATTTCCTAGCCAATGGGAATGTCAGATCCACTTCCTTGAGGCTTGGCTGTAAGTACCCCAATTGTGCTTTGCCCAAACTGAGGTCTGATTTGTCGTTTCAGGTGGAAAGAATGCTCTCACCCCAGGAGTGGTTGGAGTGTGTGTGTGTCTGTATGTGGGTGCGTGCGGCCATTTTCCACAGGAAACCAAGGGTAAGTGTTGGCAGATCAATAATATTCCTAGGTAGGAGGAGTGTTTCAAAGAGGGATCCATTCTGTGAAACCATTTGAACCAAACAGAAAGATAATGCTTTATTCCCGATTCCAGGGCATCCTCCCCAAACCTACTCAGAAGAAATTTTCCTTTGGGACAAATTTTCCCAGATAAAGTCACCTGGGTGTGTAGTACTGGTTACTGTTTCAGTGGTTTGTAGTCAAATTAGACCTCAAAGTAACCCTCAAAAGTCATAAACATGTTGTTGTTTGACCTTGTTCTCGAAGAGGACCCTCAGGGAGGTGATGCCATGACTTGCAAGTGAATTGGATTTAAGCGAGGCAGGGCTGCGCAAAGTCACCAGCCTCACTTTCTCCTCCAGAGCCATCTGAGATCAGGACTACCAGAGATGACCATAAATATTTTTCCTATTCAATCCATGAAATTTATATTTTCACTCCTTCCCTCCCCATATCAAGTTAGTCTACAACATGCATTTCTCCTCCACCTCCTAAAACTGTGGCTTCCCTAGGGAAGTAGAGGAGGCCCATTCCATGAAGATTACCCTGAAAAGAACAGGTCTTATTACTCCTCTGCTCAAAGCCCTTCAGCACCTTCTTTTGTTCCCCTTACCAAGAGGCATCCATTTCTAGAGTCCTAAAAGCCGTCTAGGGCCTAAGGATCAGTGAGATCATTTAGTCCTGGAACCTCATTTTATAAATGAGGGAACTTCTCAGTTTGACATCCAAGGCCCCCACAAGCAGCTGTGTGTCATACTATTTCCCTCTGCGTTTGGTATGTTCCAACCAAACTGGATGATTCACTGTTATTGAAATACCTTCCATGTTGCCTTGCCTTCATCCCTTCGATCATGCAGTTCGCTATACCTGGAATACCTTTTCTCCCTCTTGGAATGTTAAAATCTCACTTGTCCTTTGAAGCTTAGCTCGAATGCTAATTCCTCCAGGAAGCTTTCCATGATTACTCCCCACCCCCCTACCCAGTTGTTGCCAATACTTCCACCTCCAGACCTTGTAGACTAGTTATTTTTGGATCCCCTCTACTAAACTGACAAATCCGTGAATATCCAGCACTGTCTTCTACAAGCAGTAGGTCTGCCTTGGATGTTTGGTAAAGTTGGTGAGCCCCTAATTTCACAGGTAAGGGACCTCTATGTCCCAGAGACATCAAATTCTTGCTAAAAATCACACAGCAAATTAATAGCAAAGTAGAATTTCTAAGTCAGTTTACTGTACTCTCTCCTCTTCCCTGGGCCCTCTCCCATCTTCTCTCATTGACACTCATAAAGCCACCCCTATATACATAGAAGCCCTACAAAGGTCACCTCCATAACCAAATGAGGCTTAGGAGAGGTTTCTCTCTACTAGAGAGGACAATTGATAAAGCCAAAAAAAACCTGTCATGAATCGGAAAGGTAGGGAAAAAGAGAAGAGAAAAAGCATTTTTAAAGCTCCTACTATGTGCTAGGAACTATGCCAAGTACTTAACTAATTGACAAAAGCAGATCCTCACAACAACCCAGGGAAATAGGTGCTATTATTATCATTGTTTTATGTTTGAAGAAAGTGAGGAAGACAGAGGTTAAGTGACTTGCCCAGGATCATATAACTAGTGAGTGCCTGAGGTTGGATTTGAACACAAGTCTTAATGACTCCAATCCCAGCATTCTGTCCACTGCAACACCTTGCTACACAGAGGCCATGTGATACCATAAGGTGTTGTAATCTAGTAGGAGTCAGAGACATTTGAATTTAAATCCCATGCAATTTGAGTTTAAATTCCTTAAGAACTTTCAGAGCTAAAGAAATGTGTGTTGCTGTTATCACTTTATGGCAGTGCCTTCCTGCAGATCCTCTATATAACGGAACAAATTGTGTATCCTAAAATTTTCCGGGCCCATCAGTATGCAGTCTCTTCAGCCCTAGGACCCCCAAGAAGCACAATACCTTCCACTGCCATGAACTCTGGGCCTGTTTCTGACCCCTCCTGGCTTCCTTTCTGAAAGCCAGGGTTAAATAAACAGGCAGAGATCATGAAAAGTTGAGAGCAGAAGATGTCTTCACCAGGCTTCTTGATACAAGAATGAGCAATGCCTAAGTAATTGTACCTGCGTTGTATCCACTAGGTCCTTAGGGCCTGAGAACATTTTTATATTGGATGGAGACCAAGGACTAGCATTCTCATTAAGGCTCTTGGAAAGACAGTCTAGGACTGAAATCTGGGGCCATTTCTTTCCAGCCTATAGAGACTCTGAGGGTAATAGTTAGATAGGTATCTTTCAAGGACACTGGAGAGTTTTTATTTCTTGGGTTTGAAACTGTGCAGTCCTAAGTACCTCCTATCATTATTCTTCATAGGACCAAGGAATGACAACAACCAGGTCCTTTGCTGTTGTGCGAGCAGGTGGGATGGTCAAGTAGTAAAAAATAAATATAATAATTATAATAGCTACCCTTACAGCTATTATAATTAGGTAGAGGATGTGTGTATTGCCTTAGGCTATGTATACCTGCATAGGTCTGTTTAAATGTAGCTTGAAAAAGAAGCATGAATAGATACCTCTAGTCTCCTCTGCCCACCCTTCTCCAAGTGAGACTTTGATTCCTGCAAGGAGGGGCAGCAAGAGATTGGCTCCAGAGGCTGACCACTCTGCTCTTCTCAGAAAGAGGGTATCAGCCTAGACTTATACGTCTGCCTCCTTCAATATTGTCAGTCTAGGAAATAATTTTTTAGTTCAGGATGTACTCCTGATTGCTGTCCTTTTACAGGAAAGGAGTGCCCCAAGCTACATCTAAGGTTTGTTTCCCCTTCTTACCAAGTGCTAGTTCCACAAAGACCACATATATCAAGCAGCAAATGAACCCATTTATCCAAGGCAGGGAAAGGGCTCAACCCAGCCCATCACCTTACAGCTTTCTTATCTTAACTAATTACTCTGTCAAATAGGTGCTGAACTGTGTGGTTTCTATGATCCCAAAGAAACACAGATGCTCAGGCCATTCTAAACTTAGCACTCGTGCAGCAAAATCATTCAGCCCACCTCAGTTATGATTCTAGCATTACCTCCTAGACACAATCTCTCCCCCATCCCATTTGTTTATCTCTCTGTGTATCTATTTACCTAGCAATTTCTGTGTATCTATTTCTTTGTGGGTGTATTTCTCTCTGTTTCTGTGTCTATTTCTTTATGTGTATTTCTCTCTATTTCTTTGCAGGTGTCTTTATCTGTTTCTGTGTGTATTTCTCTCTGTGTCTATTTCTTTGTGTGTATTTCTCTCTATTTCTTTGTAAGTATCTTTCTGTAATTATTTCTATGTCTATTTCTTTGCTCCTCTTTCTGTATCTATCTATTCCTGTGTCTGTTTCTTTGTATGTATTTGTCTGTTTCTTTGCATGGGGTTTTCAGTATCTATTTCTGTGTCTATTTCTTTGTGTGCATTTCTCTGTATGTGTATTTCTTTGTATGTGTCTTTCTATATCTGTTTATTTCTTCATGTCTATTTCTTTGCCTGTGTCGTTTTGTATTTCTACTTCTCTGTATATGTCTTTCTGTATCTATCTATTTCTGAATCTATTTCTTCATGTGTATTTCTCTCTGTTTCTTTGCTCCTCTTTCTGTACTATCTATTCCTGTTTCTGCTTCTTTGTATGTACTTCTGTCTATTTCTTTGCATGTGTTTTTCTGTATCTATTTTTGTGTCTATTTCCTTGTGTGCATTTCCCTGTATGTGTATCTCTTTGCATGTGCTTTTCTATATCTATTTGTTTCTTTGTGTCTATTTCTTTGCCTATGTCTTTCTGTAGCTATCTATTTCTGTGTATATTTCTCTCTGTATCTACTTATCTAGTAATTGCTTGTGAGTCTCTTTGTGTCTATTTCTTTGCATGTGCTTTTTTGTTTCTCTGTACATCTGTTTCTCTCTGTACTGTCTACTTCTCTCTAGACAAGATTGAAGATAGAAGACTCTCTTCTCTTTCTCTGTGTCTATTTCAGTGCATCACACCACTGGTCCTGCTTCCAGCCCAGCCCTCACAGTCATCATCTTGGGAAGCAACTCTTGTGGAAAAGGGGCCAGTCATCCCCACCAGTTGCAACCAACTGCCACCCACAGAATAGGCAAGCCAGCTTAGCTGAGGAAACAAGGAACCTTGGGGAGGGGGGAAGAAGAGAGGCAGCATGCATCAGGAAAGTCAAGCCACCATCACTATCTTCAGCCACAATCTTTCCTCAGACCCTGATAGAGACAGCCTAGAACCCTGATTCCACAAACTTTGGGAATAGTGATATTTCTAGCTCAGTTGACCTCAGCCATCATCTTGGTGTGTAATCTCTGTGGAGATGAAGTCTGAGGACTACTCCTCCTAGGGCTGTACCACAGCTGCTGAAGACAGAGAAAAGAAACTTCTTTCCGCCAAAGTCCTTGGTACTGTCAGACGGCTCTGCATCAGAAATGGATATAATTTAATCAGGTGAAATGACACTAAAGAAGAGGCAAGCTTATTTATTTTGCTGATGTACCCTGAGGACTGTAGGACTTCTCCATTGGACTTGAGGCTGAAACCTTCCATCTATGTTGTCTCTCACCTTAGAATGTGAGCTCTTTCAGAGCAGGGACTGCCTGGCTTTTCTGGCTGTATCCCCAATGCTTAGCACAATGATTTGCGCATAGCAAAGATTAATAAATGCTTAATTCATTCATTCATTCTATTTATCTCTTTACTTTCTGTGTCTATTGATTACAAATTTTTCTCCATTTCTGTCTACTTCTTTCTATACATCTGTTTCTGTTTCTCTAACAATTTCTCTTTTTGCATCAATTCCTCTCTATATCTCTCTGTAATCTGTTTCTCTGTGTTTCTGTTTCTTTCTCTGTATCTATTCTCTGTGTGTCTTTCTGGCTCTTTCTGTCTCTGTTTCTTGGTCTCTGTCATTCTCTTTCTATGGGTATGCATTTTGGACAGCTGTAATTGTTAGGAAATTTTTCCTTCCATTAAGCCTAAATTTTCCTCTTTTGTGACTTCCACAGATCTCTCCTGATTCTTCTCTCTATGGCCAAGTTGAATAAAGCTCATCCTTCTTCCCCCTGACAGCTCTTCAAATACTACAAGACAACCTCTTCTGGGTTTCCATTGCCCCTTCCCACCCTCAGTCTTCTCTTCTCCATGCTGAATATCCTCAGTTTCTAAAACCGATCCTCCTAAGACATGATCTCAAGGCCCTTCCGCATCCTGGTCACTCTCCTCTCTACACACAGTCCCCTTTTTAAACTGTTGCACCCCAAACTGAACACCAAACTCCAGATGTGATCCAACCAGGGCAGACAACAACAGGGCCAATTATTCATCCTGAAACCATTTCTTTTCTGTCTCATTTGTAAATGAAGAGTTCTTTTTTTCCTTCCCTGCTCCCTCCCAAATCTCACTTCCTTAGCAAAATATTAGAAATCCATCCCTCAGTTGGTTAGTTTCACCTCAAGTAGCACTGAATGGAAATCTGAGACTGCGTTATAGCAGCACAGGGGACTTCTTTTCTCCTTTGGTCCATGGTGGTGGAGGAGGGGAGCCAAGCTATGCTTGGCCTAGGGAAATGAGGAGACCAGATGGTTAGAAAGAATGGAATGTCAGCCCGACTTTAGGAGGAGGGGAACTGGGAGCCAAGCTCCTGCATACTTTTCTTCAAGGAGATCAAAACAAATAGCGCCAGAGCACTGCTGGATGCTAGGGTTCCCCAGGCATTGATTTCTAAGACATGAGTTCTGTTTTGCATCCATTTCCCCAGGCTGGCGGGTGAAATTCCCAGACCTTCTTGTTGGACTAGGTTTTCAGCTATTGGTGGGTATCAGTTTCTGGGGAGAGGAGCGATCCTTTTGCTTTGAAACAAACAGAACAGGGTAAACTCCTCTTCAGGGAGGGGCATAAAGAGAAACAATTAGAACAAGAATAGATGAATCAGGCAACAAAAGCTGGTCATAAAGAGATAGCATTGAAGGCATAGGAGCATAGATAGAGAACTGAAAGGGACCTTAGAGGACGACCAATTTAATGAACTCTTTTATGAAGGAGGAAACTGAGGCCCAGAGAGGTTAGGTGACTTGTCAGATTTCACACAGGTAGTCATAAATCTAAATCTGGAAGGGACCTTAGAGGTGCTCTAGTTCAACTTCCTCCTTTTACAAAGGAGGAAATGGAGTCCCAGAGAGGTTAATTTATTTTTTTAGTCACACAGCCAATAAGCACCAGAGCGTCTTAGATTAGGGCAGTGAGGCAGTGGAGTGGATAGAGTGCCAGGACTGGAGTCAGGAAGTCTTGTCTTCCTGAGTTCAAATCTGGCCTCAGACACTCACAAGCTGCGTGACCCTAGGCAAGTCTCTTAATTGTCTTTGTCTCAGTTTCCTCATCTGTAAAATGAACTGGAAAAGGCAATGGCAAACCATTCCAGTATCTTTGCCAAGAAAACCCCCAATGGGGTCAAAGAGAGTCAGACACGCCTGAAACAACTCACCGACAAAATCTTAGATTAAGATCTAAAGGTTCCTGGAGTCCAACCTTCTTATTTTACAGAGGAGGAAACTAAGGCACAGAAAGGTCAAGTAACTTGCCCCAAGGTCATGCAAATAGTAGGTGGCAGATCCAGGATTCAAACTCAGGTCCTCAGAGTCTAAATACAGCTCTCTTTGTACTGCACCCCATGATTATAACAGTAGCACTAACTGTTGAGTAGTGCACATATACGGTGCTATGAGATTGGCATAACACATAGATGATCTCATTTGATCCTCTCAATAACCTTCTTTTTATATATAATTTTTTTTTAGGCAATTGGGGTTAAGTGACTTGCCCAGGGTCACACAGCCAGTAAGTGTCAAGTGTTTGGTGTGAGGCCAGATTTGAACTCAGGTCCTCCTGACTTCAGGGCTGGTGCTCTATCCACTGCGCTACCTAGCTGCCTCTCTCAATAACCTTCTGAGGCAAATGTAGCAGTATTAGCCTTATTTTACAGATGAAGAAACTGAGGCTGAAAGACACCCAGAGTGAATCTAATAGGGCTCTGAGGCAGAATGTGAACCCAGGTCTTCTTGACTCCATTCCTAACACCCTGTCCAATATACTACGTTGTGTTTTATGTGGATTTAAGGAAAATCCAACCTGTGATTTTCCTACTTAGAAAAACCAAAATGATGTAGAAATGGATGAAGGGGGCTGAAGGGATCTGAAAGTAGGAAAGATATCAGGAAATCAGGAGCAAGTTTCTGGCTGGGCCAGAGGTAAAGCAGAGGAAGGAGCGGAAGAGATGACATCCAGACCATAGGAGGTGGCAGTCATCCAGGCAGAGAATAAACAGAGTGTGAACAGGTGCCTTAGAGATGGGGACAGATGGGGAAAAAATGAGACAGTACAGAAATGCTGCTGAGAAAGATGGTGTCAGGTTTGGGGTTGTCCTCAGATAAAGCCTTGTCCCCTGCTTGGCATTGAGAGGAAGGGATGTGGTCTACCCTCACAGCTGAGCCCAAAGGAGAGTGATTCACGATGGCTGCCACAGAGCCTTGCATGAGTGGGATAGAAAGGAGGGTCTGTGTCGTGCAAATGTCATAGGATGGTAGAACAAGGGCTAGAAGGAATCTCAGATGCCACCTGGTCCAAGCCCTTCATTTTACAGGGGAGGAAATTGAGGCCCAAGGAAGCTGAGTGAACTGTCCAAGGTCACACAGATAAGATTATAGTCCTAGAGCTGTTGGGTCATTTCAGTCATGTCTGATTCCTCGTGACCCCATTTGGGGTTTTCTTGGCAAAGATACTGGAGTGGTTTGAAATTTCCTTCTCCAGCTCATTTTACAGATGAGGAAGCTGAGGCAAATAGGAGTAAGAGATTTGCCCAGGGTCACACAGCAAGGAAGTGTCTGAGGCTGGATTTGAACTCAGAAAGATGAGTCTTCCTGACTCCAAGCCCAGTGCTTTATGACACCCCCTAGCTGCCCAGACCAGCTGGAAGGGACGTTGAAGGCCATCTAGTCCAAACCCCTTGTTTTACAGGGGAGGAAACTGAGGCCCAGAGAAAATGAAGGGACTTCATAGAATCATAAAATCATAGATCTGGGTGTAGAAGAGACCTCAGAGCCAGTCTGGTCCATTTTTTAAAAAATTTTGCTTTTTTTTTTTTGGTGAGGAAATCAGGGTTAAGTGACTTGCCCAGAGTCACACAGCTAGTGTTAAGTATCTGAGGCTGGATTTGAACTCAGGTCCTCGACTCCAAGGCCAGCACTCTATTCACTGTGCCAACTAGCTGCCCCTCTCTAGTCCATTTTTATAGATGAGGAAACTGAGGTCTAAGAGATGGAGTGACTTGTCCAGACAAATGGTAGGATTTGAACCCAGATGTGTTCATCCCATTGTAGCACTCAATTCACTCCAAGGAGACAGGGAAGCTCATGCTGATTGGCTTAACTACCATGAGACCCAAACACGCCCAGCCAGGCTTACAGGCATACATCTGCAGGTCCTAATGGGGGTAATTAGTAGCTCTGGGAAAGTGAATCCTGAGGGATTAAAGTGGCTAAAGAAGCCAGCCCATTGTCCAGCCAGGGGTGGGGAACCTGGACGCTGTTTCAGAGAAAAGGAGCTATATGAAGGAAGACAGGCAGGGGGAGGGGGACCAGGGACTGGGAATTCTGGGACCCTAGCCCCAGCCAAAAGAAGCATTTGAGTGGGATGAAAAGGTTTGTGCTGGGGGAGTCCATTTGCTTCTTAAAAATGGAACAGCTCAGGAAGGCCCCTCTGGGAGACTTTTATGATCAGCTCGCATATAGGACATAACAAACTCTGCCAAATCCTTCCAAATTACCAGTTCATTTCCTTTTTCAAATCTTTGTCCATATTGTATATGTATCATTTCAACTAGAGGCAAAAATCAGTCATCCAAACATTCACATAACTAAAATCTGTGCTGAGGGATGTGCTCGGTGTCTTCCGAGGTCCCTGCCGACTCTGAGAGTCAGTGATTTTTGATGATGATTCCTTTCTGCATTAGGAAGTAGCAGTGACTATGCTGTTCAATTAATCAATCAGTAAACATTCATTCAGTACCTACTATGTGCTAAGCACTGAAGAAGCTTCAATGGCTCCCCATTGCCTCTAGGATAAATTGATCCATCAACATGCATTTATTATGCACCTAGTATGTGCCAAGTACTGTTAGGAACTAGAGATAGGAAGACAAAAATGAGACAATGGCTACCCTCAAGGGACTTTACATGACTGGCACATAGTAGGCACTTAATAAATGTTTATTGAGAACAAGGAGATATTGGTATGATTGTGCTAAGTTTAATATTTTAAAAAATCAACTGGTGTGTAGCAGATTCAGGTTTCCATATACAGTTCTTTTTCTGTTTTGTTTTGGTTTTTTGTATATCAGTTGTTTATTTTTTTTAAATTTACAATAAAAATACAATTTAAAATATTTCTTGATTGATTCTAAAACACAAAGTCCTCTGTTTGGCATTTAAAGCCCTTCACACTCTGGCTCCAGTCTTCCCTTCCAGGCTTAATGCACATTGCACTTCTTCACTCACATGACATTGCAGTCAATCTGGCCCATTTCATGTTTTTCCTCCTATAAACCATTTCATCTCCAACCTCACATCTTCAAACAGCCTGGG